TCCGCCCGCGCGCCCGCCCGTCCCGAGGAGCCGAGGCCCTCGGCGGGCCCTCCGCTGCTTCCTGGAGGCAGGCACCGTCAAGGAGAATGCGGGCACCCGAACAGGTTTCTTGGGAATTTGACCCTTCGCTATTTAAAAGGAACAATTGCAAGGGAACGTACGTCGGATTTTAATTCAAAGGGGCGCGCACATTTTACACGGCGGCATCCGTCTGCATCGGATGAGCTAGCAAAGAGGACACTTACCAGTTGCATGCAATTTTTCGCTTCCGCAATCGGACGTAAAATAGGCTTCGTCTAGGATTCTCATTGCCAACCTTAAATTGTGGCTAGCGATAAGGATATTCAAAACAACACGGCGCTAGCCCCTTAGTGATGGAATACTAGAGCATTTATCCAAATATATATGGCTTCCCGCCCTGTCCCCCATTATGAATATGGGATCTTTTTACTGATTAATCTCTAGCAGGTTCCCCCCCCAATTCACTCACATTTTTATTATGCACCTGTGTTGTTTTCTTACTGTCTGGTCCCACTCCCCTCTACTTCCATGCTTCCAGCTCCTTGGTGGATTTCTGTAGCATATAAGGAGAGACAGAGAAACATTGGGTGGCTTTTTAAAAACTGAGCCATTAACTGTTAACTGCCACAAATTTCCTATGTGGATGTAAAGGCAACATAGAAATATATTTCTAAAATGAATTGCATCTAAGTATATACAATATATTTTCTCCACTTCCATTTATATTGTTGCTGTCCCACAACCTATTCTGGCAACAACACCCACTGACAGCAGCATTAGGCACCTTCCAAGATCCCTTACGAATGTGCCTTACCGCATTTCTGTAATAAAGTAAGTTCATACAATTGTTCCTCATTGGTTGAACAGGTTTGTTGTGTTTGTTTATTCCTGGTTGTCCCTAGAGAATGTGTGCCCTGCCTTTCCAGTAGTCTAGCTGCTTTTGTGCCCCTTCACGGATTGCTGCCTTGTCGTGCCGAAGGGACTTGAGTAACTCAGAGAAGCTATGGGCTATGCCGTGCAGGGACACCCAAGACAGACAGGTCATAGTGGAGAGTTCTGACTAAACGCGATCCACCTGGAGCAGGAACTGCCAAGCCACTTCAGAATCTTTGCCAAGAAAACCCCATGAACAGAAACAAAAGGCTAAAAGATATGACAGGTTGGAAGGCATCCAACATGCTACTGAGGAAGAGCGGAGGACAAGTACAAGTAGCTCCAGAGCTAATGAAGTGGTTGGGCCAAAACTGAAAGGACACTCAGCTGTGGACGTGCCTGGAAGTGAAAGGAAAATCCGATGCTGCAAAGAAAAATACTGCATAGGAACCTGGAATGTAAGATTTATGAACCTTGGTAAGCTGGATCTGGTCAAACATGAGATGGCAAGAATACAGTGGAGTCTCAACTTACGTTCGGCTCCACTTACGAACTTTTCGACCTACGGACTTCTCCAGCGGCAAAGTTTCACTTCGACTTGGCGCTTTCCCCACCTCCCCCTTCCAGTCCGTAGGCTGCAGTCTAAGCCCCGAAAGCCCAAAGCTGACAGTGGTCGCAGGTGGCTTTCGGCTTTTCCCGCCTCCTCTCGCTCGCAGCTTTGGAAGCTGAAAGGGCCCAGAGGGCACCGGGGACAGGAGACAAGAGGCCAGTGGGTCCAGCTTTCTAAGCCTCAAAAGCTGACAGCGGGCGCAGAGTGGCTTTCAGCTTCCAAAGCTGCAAGCGAGGAGAGATGGGAAAAGCTGAAAGCCTTTTTTTCTTTGGCTGGAATGAATTAAATGATTTTCAATGCATTCCTATGGGAAATGGACCCTCGACCTACGGAATTTTCGACCTGCGGCCACAGTTCCAATATGGATTAATTCCGTAAGTCAAGGATCCACTGTAAACATTGACATCCTGGGCATCAGTGAACTAAAATGGACGGGAATGGGCGAATTCAATTCAGATGATTATCATACTGTATCTACTATTGTGGGCAAGAATCCTGTAGAAGAAATGGAGTGGCCCTTATAGTCAACAAAAGAGTGGGAAAAGCTGTATTGGGATAGAAACCCGAAAATGATAGAATGATTTCAATACGAATCCAAGGCAGACCTTTCAACACCACAGTAATCCAAGTTTATGCACAAACCACCAATGCTGAAGAGGCTGAAATTGACCAGTTTTATGAAGATGTACAATACCTTCTAGAACTGACACCAAAGAAAGATGTTCT